AAGACAAACCATGGTTTGCAAATTTATACCCATTAGCCCCACTGGGGCGTTAGAGAGTTGGTGGGAATCGACCTGTCTGAGTGTTAGACCACTAAATTTAAAATTTATCGATTACTCTCACTGTGGAGTCGGATGGGTAAAGAAATTCCCACCTCATTAAAAAAACACAATACCGTAATTATTTATTTAGAGGTCTCTCTCATGAGAACTACCACGAGATCGATCTCTTTTTTTTTTAACACAGATGCATTACATAATTAATTTTACTTTTCACACATTTCAAAAAATTATTTTATTCAATGGTTAAGCACATGAGAGCTCTCTTCTCATGAGAAAAACTTTTTAAGAGCATTACTCATCCCTTGACTAATAATAATTCTGTAAAAAATTTACATAATAAAATAGCGCTAAAATAAAAACTATTATTAGTAGGAATTATAAACCACGATTCATAACAATTTGTATAGGTACATTATAGAGTGTTTTTTTGTTAATAATAATAAAAAAATGTTCTAAGCAATTTTTAAAACGTGAAAGATATATTTGAAAGGGAATAGCGATGGCCTCTGACACACTACATGATAGGATTTTTTTTTTTTTTTTTTTTAATAAATAAAAAAAAACACATGTCTATGTTCTCTACTAATCTACGTTTTACCATTTCTTGTCATTTCAAAGGAGTTTAGATTATTTTTTTAGGGTAGAAGTGGAAGCAAGAACACGAGTGGAAATCGAGAGTGTAAGAGTAGGGGTGCAACTCTTTTGGGTTGGAATCACAATTTGAGTTTAACTCGAGATATGAATTCTAATTCAGTTATAATCGGATCTTTAATTGTGACTATTCAACTAAATTTTTTATTTTTAAACTCGAATTTGCGACTTTGTTTGAGATTTTGAGTTAGAAAGTCATGTTAATTTGAATTTCTTATATAATCAATTACACATTGAAAATTTAATGTAATCTTAGAGTTAGTTTGAGATTAAATTATTTCAAAACACAAAAAGTTTTAAAATTTTATTACAATTATTTTTTAATAAATTACAAACATTTTTAGAAAATTTATTCCCTAAAGCTTTAATAAATAATAAATTAAACAGGTCGATGATTCAAGTCTTCATTTGGGTAGTTAGTGTATGAGTTTCTTGCTATGACACCCCCTCCCCAAAACAAGTTCATCATAATTTGAACATTATAGACAATTTTTTTAAAATAGAATATATATAAATTATTAAAAATTAGGTTCGAATTATTAGCACCTTAATTCAAGTTCAATCAAAATTAAGTTCGGGTTGAAGTTATTGGGTTGGATTCATGTTGGTCGTTCAAATTGCACCCTCGAGTCAAAATCTAAAAATTGATTGGAGCGAAAGTCTTTTCAATTTGTGCATAAACTTATTTAAAAACCCTGCAGGTTGTGATTCTTGTGAATTATGCATGCCCTTCTTAGTATCACATGACAGAAATTGTACAGAGAAAGATCAATACAAATCATTTCAAAGCAAAAGGAATATGTATTGTCTTCGTTGACTACAAGGCTATGAAGATGGAAGATAAAATTCAAATTAAGATAAAGCCTATTTCCTGGGATGAAATGAAAAGTAAAAAGGTGGAATTATCAAGTAAAATGTAATGAAATTAAATTACATACCCACTAATCCATTTGAATATGGACGTTATTAGAGACTCTCCTACCCATGGTTCACTGCCGATATGTTACGTATTGTTTGGTTTGTAACTCTTTTTTAATGGTTCGAGATCATTACACACTCTTGTGAATCGCTCGGTTTGACCGGTTTACATCAATATTCGTCCGAATCCGTTACACCACGACTGAGACGGTTATCGCGCGACTGTGAACCATGCAGTCCTGCCTCTCCTTTTATGTCACTTATTTAAATTAAATAAAAATTGACCATGTAACTAAATGTATTCAACATATTTAATGAATGAATATCTGATTTTATAATCAACAAGCTTTTATATATATTGGGAATACCCTTCAAGTCCTGGTTAAAGCTTATTATTGATCCAAATCAATCAAGCCTGACCAATTCAAAAACCTAGGCCTGATTTTAGCCCCAACTAGGACTAGGTTTCAGTTTCATAGCCCATAACTATACAAATTAAGCTCAAAATTTAACCCAATTTCTAAACAGGTCGGGCACGGCTTAATACTCTCATCTGTTAATTTTTAGTGGGCCTGTTTAATGGTCGAAAACCGACGGACTCAGGTGTGGGCCTCAATTCTCGTAATCATCTCAAAAAAATGCCATTGAAAGCCAAAGATTAATCTTTTGGATTTTGGTAGTGTTCGCGCAGTTTTTGTTCCCTACGCCGGTCGATGGACTCTTCGCTGGCGTGCCAGAGTATTTGTACAAAATACCCAAAATATGTAATTGAACACCAGCCTATCCCTTTTTCCGATGACTGACTCTCAGGCGATTGTGTGGGAGAGAGACTAGTAAGAACTCCCAGTAAGGTTCTTTTATGCCTTATTTGTAGCAAGGACTTTTTAGAGTGTCTAAAGAAATGCAACGGCTGATGAATGTTTGAATGGATGGAATGGCCGAATGAAGACAGGCGGCAAGAACTTAATCGATCGCCGGCCGAACGTGATGGCGAGAACTTAATCAATCGCCATCAGCCAAACACAATGGCAAGAATTTAATCGATCGCCACCAGCCAAACACAATGGCAAGAATTTAATCGATCGCCACTGAAACGTGATAGCAAGAATTTAATCAATTGCCATCAGCCAAGTAATGACAAGAATTTAATCAATTGTCACTACGATTCAATGGCAAGAATTTAATCAATTGCCATTGAATTGAAAGCCTAACTAAAATTGTGTAATTAAAATTGGCATAATTGAAATTGAAAGAAAGTAAATGGCTGAATCGAAATAGTTGACGAGGATCTAATCAATTGCCATTAAATTGAAATAAAGAAATTGATAGGAAAATGACGTAGAGTCAATTGAAAACATTTTTAATTGAAATGCATGTTTTGTGGTGGTGCTGGACAAGTTAGAAATGGAATACAATACTTCTATTTATAGAAATTCTAAAACCAACTAATTTCTAATTATTTCTTGCTAAAATCTCTCTTGCTTCAATCATTTTCTTTTGAAATTCAAACTGAGCTACGGCCCAACATTCCTCGCCTTCAATATCGATGCTCCAGTTTCAATGGAAAAGTCTTTACTGAAATCTCTCTTTTCCTTGATTTGCTTTACTTTACTTTGTTGCTGAAAATAGGTCGTACTCCAGTATTCTTTCACGTCTCTTCTCCTCTTGTTTCGTCTTGCTTCAAATAGAATACCTTTGTTGAAGAAAATATTGATTGCTAAGAAGTCGGTAGAAAGCTGCTGGAAGATTGCTAGTAAGTTGCTAATTTTTAGCAATTTCTTTCTTCAAGCTTGACTGAAATATTTCCCTTAAATGGCTGGAAGACCATTTATAGCCTTGACCCATACACTCACGTGGCTGCCCCTTCCTTTTGAATTTCATTTTCATAAGGATTCAATTTCCTTTCTCATAACTAAATCCCTATTTTATAGGAACTTAATTATGTCACCTTAGCCAACTTCTCTCAATGTTCTATTTCTAATGAAATTTCCTTTTGAAATTAACACAAGTCTCGGTTGTTTAGTAACAACCCTTTTGGTGAGGTGGCTGAATATATAGATATCTTCCTAAATCTTCTCCTACTATTTCTCCATTGGCCGACCATTCTTGGACATGCTTAACACTTATCGGCTTCCCATTGGTCCACGTCGCTGCTGAAGTGGCTGCCAAGTTTTGGTGCCAACAAATGCCCCTTGAATTTCAAATGCTTTTATCACTTATGATACGAAGCGTTTGGAATTTGAATCGGCCTAAAATTGTAATTCAAATTTTGGTAATAAATTCTCTTTCCAACCACCTGCTTTAATGGTTATCTTTCCCAATTAAAGCGGTGACTACACTAATCCGCTATTACATCCAGCAAGTATTTAGCTTGATGCTCTCTAATCCCTAAAATCATTCTTCTTCCCTTAAACTTTCTATCTCTGAAATTCTTTCTCGGCAAAATCGTTCCTGACGTCTTCTATGGCTCCTAAGAAAACTAAATCAACTGATTCCACCTCTATCCCTCAACCTTCCGATCCTTCAACCCATGGCAACATCATAGAAAAATCCCTAAAAACTCTATCTCCTTACAAATACTGTCTCAATACCCTTATCGATCTTCGTACTGACTTCAAAGGCTTAGGTCCTGCTTTCCTTGACGAAGCTCCTTCATCAATCTCACCTTTCTATCCTTCGGCCGATGTTCTTCCATTCCTTCAAACCTTCCCTCCTAATGAAAATGGCAGTTTGCCACACTTTCATTTTAGAACATGGCATATTCCAAATGATGCTTGGATCAATTGGGTCGACCGGGTTGGAGCTGTGAAGGGAGAAGTATGGAAGGATTGTGGAATATATGATGCCATTCAGCTAAGTAAAACTAACATCACCCAAGACAGGGCCTTGATGATAGTAGCCATGTTTAATTGGTCGACCACTACCAACTCCTTACACTTGAAGTGTGGCATGATGGCTCCAACCATTCAAGACGTGTGCTATCTAACCGGTCTCAAACCCTTTGGGATTGATGTAAGTACCTTGTTGGTAAAGGAGGATTCTCCTTTCATTTTCCCTTCAAAGCAAACTGGAACCAAGTCATCTGAATCCTCTTATGGCAAGTACTTAACTTCCACCATAGATCCTCGCGTCCTTGTGAATGATGCTGAACATATTGCCTTCTTGTTGGCCTGGCTGAACAAGTTTCTTTTATGTGTACCGGCCTTTCAAGTCACAAAGGATTTCATTCATGTGGCCGTTGCCCTTTCAAGAGGTAAACACCTTGCTCTTGCTCCCTTGGTGCTTTCCCATTTATATAGAGGGATTTATGACTTGCTTACCTCTAACTTCGGACGCTATGGTGGTCCCCTCTGGTTATTTCAAATTTGGCTTCAAGTGTACTTTCCTGAGCTCGGACCTGTGGTGAGGCCTTCGCTTGATGGTGGATTAATTTTACCAATAAGGTCAAGGCCCCAACCTCTGAATGGCCAAAGTTTGATTATTGGCTGTAATTCTTTTGCTGGTACATTTTGAATCGGCCCGTGTCTTTGACAAGCTTGACAACCTTTTGAGTAATCTATGCAATCTTTCTTCATCCTCGGCCAATAATATCCATACCTGCGAATCAGCCATCTCATTTTAATCCCAACTTGGTGAGCCCCATAGCTGCCCTCATGTACCTCGGCCATAACCTGAAGTGATTCCTCCTTGCTTATGCATTGTAGTAGGAGCCCATCTTCTAACCCTTTTCTGTATAGATCCCCATCTAGAAGCACAAAGTTGATCGCTTTTCTTTTAATACTTCTATCAGCCTTGATGATTGGATTTCGAAGAAACATTATAAATGGTATCCTCCAGTCATCGTCGGCCAAATCTTCTACATCAATTGTCCAAGTATCAAACAACATAGTATTTCTCAATTCGGCCGATGGCAAAGATCTTCGTTTTATCTTTATCAACTGATCTTCTATTCCGGCTGGTACTCTTATTCCAGAGGTTGCTTGGGCCATGCTGTTGGCCTCCTTATTCTGCCCTCTCGGCCAGAACTTAAGTTGAACATTATCAAATTGATTGATTAATGAAGTGGCCAGAGAATGAAACGGCCTTAATTGCTAACTTAGGCACTTAAAATCTTCAGAAATTTGGCTAAGGACTAAGTTTGAATCTCCCAAAATCTTTACATCTCTAACAGCCATTTCAATTAAAATCTCCAGGCCGATTATAAGCGCTTCATATTCGGCCTGATTATTTGAACATTTAAAATCTAAAAAGAAAGAGAATGAAGCCTTTCTACCAGCTGGCGAAATAATAACAATACCTGCTCCTGCTCCATCAGCCGTGCTTGATCCATCAAACATCAAGATCCAAGGAGTTAAGAATATAGCTGATGACTCCAATTCATCATAAACCCATGGATCAATATTAGTTGAAGGATGATCGGCCAAAAAATCAGCCAGAACCCTTCCTTGTACTGATTTTTGTGGGACGTAGATAAAATTGAATTCCATCAAAGCCAAAGCCCATTTACCTATTCGGCCAGTGATCAATGGCCTTGATAGCATATACTTGATCACGTTAGTCTGACAAAGAATGTAAACATCAACAGGCCGCATGTATACTCTCAACTTCATGGCCGAATAGTACAAAGATAAATAAAGCTTCTCAATTGAAGAATATTTGCATTCTACATCAGTTCGTACTCTACTCAGGTAGTAGACAACCTGCTCCTTTCCATGTTCATTGTCTTGTGCGAGCATACTACCAATTGATTCTTCTGCGGCCGATAAATAAAACTTTAACGACCACTTCTTTCTTGGAGGCATTACAACCGAGGGGTTTGCCAAATACTCTTTTATTTTGTTAAAGGCCTTCTGATGGGATTCGTCCCAATGAAATTTCTCATGTAACTTTAATTTCACTAAAGTCGAAAAGACATGCACTCGGCCAGCATGGTTAGAAATAAATCTTCTAAGAAAACCTACCTGGCTGAGGAACCTTTGCACTTGTTTTTTGTTGGCTGGGGCCCTAGCATTTATAATAGCTTTGACCTTGTTCTGATCAACTTCAATACCTCGTTTGTGTACCAAGAACCCCAAGAAATTCCCGGCTGAAACTCCAAATGCACACTTCAATGGGTTCATTTTCAATTTGTGAATCCTCATCCTTTCAAAGGCCCTTTTCAAGTGTTCCAAATGCTGTCTCTTGGCCGATGATTTCACAACTACATCATCTATATAAATTTTCATGAATCGGCCAATCATATTATGAAAGATAGAATTCATTGCCCTTTGATAAGTAGCCCCAGCATTTTTTAGGCCAAATGGCATCACAATTCACTCAAAAGTACCAATTGACCCAGGACATCTAAAAGCCGTTTTATGAATATCTTCCTCGGCTAAATAGATTTGATTATAACCTGAATGGCCGTCCATAAAAGACAATATTTCATGCTTAGCGGCCGAATCAATAAGTTGATCGGCTACAGGCATTGGATATTCATCTTTTGGAGTAACATTATTTAAATTGCGAAAATCCACACAAACTCTAAGTTTGCCATTCTTCTTCATTACCGGAACAACATTAGACAGCCATTCAACATACCTAACTGTTCGAATAAATCCTGCCTTAAGAAGTCTCTTAATTTCTTCTTTAATTTTGAGCATTACTTCTGAAGACATCCTTCTTGGTGGTTGTTTATATGGCTGAAAATCTTTCTTGATCGGTAATCTATGTTCTACCAATTTTTTAGACAGGCCAGGCATCTCTTCATAACTACAAGCAAAGCAATCCTTATATTCATTTAATAATTTAATCAAATCGGCCTGGAATTTAGGCTCAAGCAAAGCACTAACAAATAATGGCCGATTATCTTTTTTAGTACCAACATTTATTTCCAATAAAGGATCTTGCACCTCTGCTTTATTATCTTCCATCCTGGAAGGGGCTGACTCCAAATATTCAAGTTGGATTGCATCCAGCTTTTCGAAACCTTCTTCAATTATATCGGCTGTGCTGGCCGATACCTCTTCATATAGCTGTTCTTCTCTGGCCAATCTCTTCTTAGCCAGATATGCTTTCAGTCTTATGCAAGCGGCCCTGAAAGCTTGCCGCTTCTTTTCTTCATTGGTTTTGTGATCCATTAGTAACATCTTCAATGTCCTTGATGGTCGACCTGAAAATATCAATTTTCGGCCGAGCTACTTCTGACAATAATTCTTTAATATCAGCATTAATTAAATTCTTCTTCATTGTTGCCGCTGCTGGTCGTCCCATCCTGTTAATGCCAACAAATTTGATAGGTACAACAGTTTCATCATAAAGTGCAGCCTCAGCCGAATACACCCTAGCTATAAAGGGTTTGTTATCGGCCTCAACAATTTTTACCTCATTTCCATCCCAAAAAATCAACATTTGATGTAAGGTTGATGGGATGCACATGTTAGGATGAATCCAATCTCGGCCTAAAAGGAGATTATAGGCCGCGGTTGAATCAATGATAAAGAAAGCCGTAAAGGATGTTTTACCGCCAATAGTAATTTCCAAAGGTAGAATACCTTTAGTGTTACTAGATCTTCCATTAAAACCACTGATGGCCACGTCGGTTGGAACTACATCGTCCATGGTTTTACCCAATTTCTTCAAAGTAGTTGCTGGAATGACATTCACCACCGAACCATTGTCAACCAAAACCCTATTGATTGGCTGACCCTCAACCCATACTTTAACATACAACGGCCTCAACTGCTGTATCATGGACAAAGGTGGTTTTTCGAAAATGATTTTATCGGCCTTAGATGGCTGATCCTGAGAGATCAATCCTATCCCGGCCGATGAACTTGTCAAATCGTTCTTAATTTCTGAAGATTCAGCCTTTTCCTCCTGCTTGGCTGACTCAACATCCCTGTTCATCGTTGGTTCTATCCTTCCTTCAAACACAGAAGGCAAAACAAATACCATGTTACAATTTACCTCATCCGGGAGAGAACCAAAACGAATTCTGTACTTGGCCGTGTGCTTTGGATCCTGGTCTGGCTGATCATCTTTTTCTTCATAAAAGCATGCCTTATTCTCAAAGGATGTAGCGACCTCCATGTCTTCAGCCACCACTGGTTCATTTTTTCTTTCTAGTTGATCATGGTCGATCTTGTCTTCTTTCCTTTTGAGTTTTGCATTTTTTCTTTGCATCCTCCTTTTTTGAGTACGTGTAGGAGGTTGTTTAGGAAACTTTGGGTGACTTACTCGAGTCCATCTGCCATGGTTAACCAAAGGAGGTCTAACCGTTCTTACACAGCTAGATTCTTCTCCTTTTTGAACCCATATTTCTGACTGAATTGTTGGTTTCCTTTTGAAACTAGGATAAAAATGTTGTTCTGGCAGGACTCTATCAGCCACCGATGACCGAATGATTCTCACTGCCCTCGGCCCATTTTCTCTAAATATTGATCGATTGATTTCTTCGTGATTCTGTCTAGGCTGATGGCCTAACCTTTCATGGACACTGCGCTTTCTGGTTGATTGGAAATAGCCCCTCTTATCTGAGTCATTCCTTCGGCCTTTGCAATTTGGACAACAACCATGGTTGATGAGGGCAATTTGAGCTTCTCTTAACTGAATTTCCAAGTCCTTAACTTTCTGCTCATCATTACTGGCCGATGAATTACCAAGAACTTTTGGTAATCTTTCCTGTCTACCATTATCAGCGGCTTTTTCAGTTGCCAGGCTGATTACATTGGTACTGACAATATTAGGAAATGGATCGCCATCGACCCCCATTACATCTGGCTTCTTTTCAGGGAATTTCAATACACCTTCATCGATAGATTTCAGCAATACATTTCTAAATACATAACAATTGTTAGTAGTATGATTCCATGAATTATGAAATTTGCAGAACTCTCTTCCTTTTAAATCATTGGTCGATGGTATATTGTGTCCTTTTGGCAAAACGATTTGTTTGTCGGCCAACAAATGATCAAAAATTTGTTCTGTTTTGGCCAGATCAAACGTATAAATCTTACCAGTATCAGCCGTACCCTTCCTGGCCGATGAAGTCGATGGCTGAGTACCACTGGTGGATACATTTGGTTTTGTTAAAGCGTCACATACATAAGGCTTCTTTAGAATGACTTCGGCTAAATTAGCTTCAAAATCTTCCTCTTCAACCACATCAGTTGAATAAACTTCATAGTTGGGGTCCCTATAGTACGTACCTTTAGAGGAATTTTTTCGTTCTTTCTCCTCTTTGAGAACCAACTCATACCTGGTAGCTTTCTCGGCCAGGTCATACATGTCACGAAATGGAACTCCTTCAAACCTCTTCCGAAGTTCAAAATCAAGGCTGTTCAAAGCCAAACGAATGTACTCCTGTTCTGGAAGAGGTACACGACATCTTAATCTTGTTCTACTGAATCTTGCAATGAATGTCTCGACCGATTCACTAGGCAATTGACTTAGCCTGGATAAATCGGCCAGAGTAGGTTTTGTCTCCGTACGGTAAAACTGATTGTGGAATAATTCCTCCATCTGTGGCCAATTAAAAACAGAGTTAGGAGGTAGACGAATATACCATGAAAAAGCTGCCCCTGTCAAAGAGTTAGGAAAAAGTCTCAATTTCAACCACGGGCTAACACTGGCCTCTCCACATTGAACCGTGAATCGGCCAATGTGTTCCACGGTCGATTGATTCCCCTCTCCACTAAAGGTTACAAAATCAGGGACTTTATATCCTCTAGGGAACTCAACTTGGTCTACCACTTCTGGATAATGAGTTCTATAAATTGGTCGGCCGGCACCTCTAAGTTCCAGGCCATATTCTTCTGTGAGTAAATCAGCTAATTGTCTTCTATCTAACATAACTTGATGTGGCTGATTTAATATTGGTGGTACCTGATTAAAAACTGGCGGCTGATTAGCCGCTGGTTGATAGCAATTCGGCCAATCATGTGGCTGATTAGCCATATTTTGCCCCCCGAGCCCTACCTGTGGTGGCACATGAGTATACAGTGGGTTCGGTGGCCTCCACCTGATCTGATTGCCCCCCGAGTTCAAAGGCATCCGAGGAGGGTTTGGTGGAATTACCTGTGGCCGTGAACCTGCTACTGGTGGCTGATTACAACCTGCCAACGTAGGCTGAGGATAGCTTTCTGCCCAGGTGAGTAGCGTATGAACCGGCTGACTTGATGTTGCACCTGGTTGGAATGTCACTACTGGCGGCCATGGCTGTGATGTTTCAATGGCCCTCTCTGGCCGAGCAGCTTGTGATAGATTCGGCTGAGAAGCCGATTCCTGATTGTTGGAGCTGCTAGCTTGAGTCGGCTTGTTCAAAATAAAGGCTGAAAGTTGGGACATATTTTCATGCAAGTCGTTGTAGCGTGCTCCCATCCTTCCCATTGCATCTACCAAGGAGCTAACCTGTGCTTGAAGTACGGCTAACTCATCAGTAGGACCTGCTGCAAAGTTCTCAGCCTGTACTGGCTGATCGCCTTCCTCCAAATCTTCATCAGTAGCCACGGCCTTAGAATTTTTTGTGGGCCGCGGCATATTTGCCTCTTTTGTAACACTCTAGTAGTGTTCCCACCGGGTGTGCCAAAACGTGTTCGCGCGGTTTTTGTTCCCTATGCCGGTCGATGGACTCTTCGCGGGCGTGCCAGAGTATTTGTACAAAATACCCAAAATATGTAATTGAACACCAGCCTATCCCTTTTTCCGATGGCTGACTCTCAGGCGATTGTGTGGGAGAGAGACTAGTAAGAACTCCCAGCAAGGTTCTTTTATGCCTTGTTTGTAGTAAGGACTTTTTAGAGTGTCTAAAGAAATGCAACGGCTGATGAATGTTTGAATGGATGGAATGGCCGAGTGAAGACAGGTGGCAAGAACTTAATCGATCGCCGGCCGAACGTGATGGCGAGAACTTAATCAATCGCCATCAGCCAAACACAATGGCAAGAATTTAATCGATCGCCACCAGCCAAACACAATGGCAAGAATATAATTGATCGCCACTGAAACGTGATAGCAAGAATTTAATCAATTGCCATCAGCCAAGTAATGACAAGAATTTAATCAATTGTCACTACGATTCAATGGCAAGAATTTAATCAATTGCCATTGAATTGAAAGCCTAACTAAAATTGCGTAATTAAAATTGGCATAATTGAAATTGAAAGAAAATAAATGGCTGAATCGAAATAGTTGACGAGGATCTAATCAATTGCCATTAAATTGAAATAAAGAAATTGATAGGAAAATGACGTAGAGTCAATTGAAAACATTTTTAGTTGAAATGCATGTTTTGTGGTGGTGCTGGACAAGTTAGAAATGGAATACAATACTTCTATTTATAGAAATTCTAAAACCAACTAATTTCTAATTATTTCTTGCTAAAATCTCTCTTGCTTCAATCATTTTCTTTTGAAATTCAAGCTGAGTTACGGCCCAACATTCCTCGCCTTCAATATCGATGCTTCAGTTTCAATGGGAAAGTCTTTACTGAAATCTCTCTTTTCCTTGATTTGCTTTACTTTGTTGCTGAAAATAGGTCGTACTCCAGTAGTCTTTCACGTCTCTTCTCCTCTTGTTTCGTCTTGCTTCAAATAGAATACATTTGTTGAAGAAAATATTGATTGCTAAGAAGTCGGTAGAAAGCTGTTGGAAGATTGCTAGTAAGTTGCTGATTTTTAGCAACTTCTTTCTTCAAACTTGACTGAAATATTTCCCTTAAATGGCTGGAATACCATTTATAGCCTTGACCCATACACTCACGTGGCTGCCCCTTCCTTTTGAATTTCATTTCCATAAGGATTCAATTTCCTTTCTCATAACTAAATCCTTATTTTATAGGAACTTAATTATGTCACCTTAGCCAACTTCTCCCAATGTTCTATTTCTAATGAAATTTCCTTTTGAAATTAACACAAGTCTCGGTTGTTTAGTAACAACCCTTTTGGTGAGGTGGCTGAATATATAGATATCTTCCTAAATCTTCTCCTACTATTTCTCCATTGGCCGACCATTCTTGGACATGCTTAACACTTATCGGCTTCCCATTGGTCTACGTCGCTGCTGAAGTGGCTGCCAAGTTTTGGTGCCAACAGGTAGTAAGGTTTCATATATTTTTTTTTTGATATTAAATACGGAGTAT